GAGAGAGAGAGAGAGAGAGAGAGAGAGAGAGAGAGATGGTTGGACCTTCCTTTTAGGAAAATCACTTTGTGGGCTGAATGGAGTATGGATTAGAGTGAGGACAGACTTGAGGAAGGCAGACACACCAGCAAGCTGTTGCAATAGTTCAGGTATGGGGTAATGAGGACCTGCACTAGACAGTGTCAGGGGAGAGAAAGGAGGTGGGGGGAGTATTTGAGAGATTTTGCACAGGCGAAATTGGCAGGCATTGGCAACAGATTGGATCTTGGGGGGGGAGGTAAGAATTGAGGATGCCTTCTAGGTTGGGATGGTGATGTCCTCCATAGTAACAGGGAAGGTGGCAGGGGTCGGGGAGCTTTTAGGGGAAAGATAATGAGTTCCATTTTGGACATATTGAGTTTAAGATGTCTACTGGACACATAATTCAAGATACCTGAATGGAAGTTGGAAATGCAAATGGGAGCTGAGCAAAGAAATTGGAGCAGGATAGGTAGATTTAAGAATCATCAGCATAGAGATGGTAATTAAATCCATGGAAGCTGGTGAGTCCACCAAGTGAAGTAGTAAAGAGGAGGAAAAGAAGGCCCAAAACAGAACCTTCAAGGACATCTTAGGTTAGAGCGCATAATCTGGAAGAAGATCCAACAAAGGAGAAAGAAGGAGCAGTTGGAAAAATAGGAGAACCAAGGGGAGAGTGGAGTCCCTGAAACCTAGAGAGAAGAGAGTATCAAGGAGGAGTGATCAACAGTGTCAAAAAACCCAGAGAGGTCAAGAACAATGAGGATTGAGAAAAGATCATTGAATTTGGCAACTAAAAAATCACTGGTAACTTTGGAGAGAGCAGTTTCAGTGAAATGATAAGGTCAGAAGCTGGACTGTAAGGGGTTAAGATGAGAGTGACAGGAGAGAAAGTAGAAACACCTATTGTAGATGGCCTTTTTGAAGAGTTTAGCTGCAAAGGCAGAAGGGATATACAATGACAATTAGTAGGGATGGAAGGATCAAGTGAGGGTTTTTTTCTTTAAGGATGGGGAAACAGAGGCATGCTTGTAGGTAGGAGGGAATGAGCCAGTGAAATTGAAGAGAAATTGAAAATAACTGGGTGGAGATGACAAAGGGGTCAATCTGTTGGGGGAAACAGGATGGAATGGATTACTTGCACAAATAGAAGGGTTAGCCTTGGTAAGGAGTAAGGCCACTTCTTCATGAAGAAGCAAAGGAGAAAAAAGTGACAGAAGGCACCTGAGTAAGAGTGAGAGGAGGAGTAATTGGAGGTTTGAGGGTTGGATGAAAATGTTTGGAAAAATCACAGCACAGAGTAGGATAGTGAGTTGATAAGGCAGGTATAGTAGCATTGCCTAGCAGCAGGGGAATGACATGGTTAGACCTATGCCTTACCACTGTGCTCTACTAATTTTGCAGCTGTGTAGATGATAAATTAGAGAGGGGAGAACTTTAAAGGGGAAAATCCAATTAGGAAGTTATTGCAATCATCCAGGTGAGAGGGAATGAAAGGTCTTAACTAGTGAGTATAAGTGAAGAAGGGATGAGTACAAAAGATGTGAAGCTGGGAGAGATAAGACCTGGCAGCCAGTTGGATATAGAGGCTGAGGGGAAAATGAAGAATTAAGGATTACTCAGAAGTTCTACACCTGGGAAACTGTGGAAGGATGAGATGGATGGTGATGCCCTTGACAGAAGTAGGGAAATTAAAAGATGAGGCTAGTATATGAGGGAAGTTAGACAACTGTTTGTAGCATACTAGGTTTGAAAGGCCTGGTGATGCCAGCAGTCAGATGGAAATAGGGGATTGAAGTTTGGAGGAAACGTTGCAGCTGGAGATAAAGAGCTGTAAGTCTTAGACAGAGGTGACAGCTGACACCACAGGGGAAGAGAGGAGGGAGTAGAAAGAAAACAGGGCAGAGGACAGAGCCTTGGGGAATGCCCCTATTTAAGAGTGGGAAAATGATAAAGAGACAACAAAAACTCCTCATTGTGCATTAGGGGAGCCAGGAGCTGCAGCAGGAACTCAGTTTCTTATCCTGGTCAATCACACTGACGGACTCTGGGATCACAAGGCCCCACAGCCATTACATCCAGTGGCCCTTTCTCAGAGATTAATGAGGCTGAAGACTAAGGGACAAAGGTGCCATAGAAATGGTTAATAAAGCCAGGGGCCACTGAAAGTCTGAAAAAAGAAGGAAGGAGGGGTTTCAGCTAATGGGGAAGGAGGTAAAGGCAAAGGGCCTGGGACAGAGCAGAGATGAAGAAAGGGTTGGGGGAGTAGAATTGACATTGGCTGGGGGGGAGGGGGCGTGAGAGGTGGGAAGAGGGGGGAAGTGGGAAGGATTAAAAGAGAGAAGAGAATGATGACTGTTCTTTCTGGGAATTGTGTGATTCTAGATGCAGGACCAAGGGCATTATGGTTAGACAATCCTGGGGCAGAAAGGAAACATACTTTTCGAATATGGCCCCAGGATGTGAGTTCCCAGTCTCCCTCATAGTTTTGAGTACAGGACACTGAAAAGTCCCTTGGTGTCCAGAATGTCAGAGGCTGGAAGCATCTAAGAGATGATCGAGGATGTCTCACTTATTTAAGAACTGAGGCCAAAAGAAGATTAATAATTTGTCCAACCTTACAGAGAAAGTTAATTGCAGTGCAAGAACTACAATTTAGGTTATCTGACCTTGCCACCCCACCCCCCACCCCAGTCTATAGCTCTTCTCACTCTAACAGAGTATTTACTAGTTCTGGGGCTCAATAAATGTTCACTGATTGAGATAATATTTGTAAAGTGCTTAGCAAGGCGCCTGGGACTGGGTAGGTGCTTAATAAATGCTTATTGATTGATTATTGGTTGATTATTCCCTTTCTCCCCCTCCCCCTAACCTTGCTCCCAGACTTTTACTTTACTTGGCCCTGCCCTCCTCACCAATTGCTATTTATAAGTTTCCTCTTTAATCCCTTTTTTGGCCTGGACGTGTGATTTCATCAGTAAAGGGAAGGCTCTATGAGAAAACCCCCTTTACCAATGCAGATAGATAACTGCTCTGAAACGTATACTTAAGTTGCAATCTTGACTCTAACTCTTGTCAGCTGTGTGACCTTGGGCAACTAATTTCTCCACTCTGGCCTCAAATGGCCTCTTCTTCAAAATGGATATAATAAGAAAAAATTTACTTACTTCAGAGGTTTGCTTCGAAGAAATTGTTTTGTAGACATTAAGAAACTATACAAGAGTTATTTTTGTTAGCTGTAATAATCACAATTTTCCCCCCTTTTACTTTAGGTTTTAAACATGCTAGTTCACCTCTGGTTGGGGGAGGTGGGGAGATGTACGGAAGAACCCGTTTAGGAATGGAAGCGGCCATCTTGAAAAACGGTCTTGATGTCGTCCTTTGGACGCCGCCATTTTGGGACACGCCTCTTCCTCTTCCCCTATGATGTTATAAAACAACATCGCCAAATTTTTAAAAATTTCACCTTTCCCCAACGTCCGACAAGTTATTCTTGTCCCTTTAGGATGTAAGTTTTACTTTTGTCTTGTGGAAATGAGAAAAATTCAGCTCTTCCATTCACTTCCTGTTCTCCGAGGTACAACTTCCGGGTAATCGCAGGTGACCCAGGACCCCGTGACTGTGCGTTTTCCCTTTCCGGTGTTGGCGGCCCAAGCGGGGGAGAAGGTAAGGAGCTGCGGCCTCCCCACCATCGGTCCCCATCCTTTGACTAGGAGCCTTGGGTGGGCCCCGGGGCCTCTTAGGAGAACAGCTGGTGCTGTGTCTTTTCATGGCCGCCGCTTTCTCTTGGGAAGGAGGGCGAGGGGTCCGAGGACGGGCCGGGAAGGGGGCGCTTGGGGCCAGGGGAGGAGCGCGACCGGGGAAAGGCGGGGGGGAGGCGGTGAGGTGGGGTGTAGGTGAGGGTAGGGAGTCTGGGGTCAGGCGTGGAGGAGAGGTCTTTGGCTCCGAGGTTGGGAGACGTGGCTGCGTGGGGCAATCCGGGGCCAGGGAGCAGCAGCGGCGAGACTGAGTTTTCTGGAGTAACACGTGGAAAGGAGGATTTTTGGACTCAATATCAGTGCTGGAAGAAATCCGAGTAAAGTCCAACTTACGTTTGTGTGTGCGTTTTACATTACATACACTTATCACTCTTACTTCATGAGAGGGTACTTGTAACAAAGCAAAACTATTAATACAGTGACCCAGTACGAAATGTGCAACATTCACATTTGTAGCAACCCCCTCGGTTTTTTAAATGACCAGAGATCTATTTTCCCTCCCCACCCTATTGGAAAGATGAGGGAATTTCTTGTAACAATTCATAGTTAAGCAAAATAAATTTTGAGTCTCAGGATTATTCTCTGGAATCATGAATAGTCGTTGCATCCACTACAGCTTTCACAGTTTTTCCAGTATTGGTGTTACTGTATTAACTTGTTCTCCTGGTTCTGCTCATTTCATTCGTAATCAGTTTATAAGTGTCTCCAAATTGTTATAATGTTGATGATGATACCATAAGTTGTTCTGCTTTTCCTTACTTCATTCAGCATGTTCACCTGAGTCTTTCCTTGTCTTTCTTACTACACAGTAATTCCATAACACAGTTTTTCAGCCATTCCCTTGATTGGTGGGCATCCCTTAGTTTTAAGTTTTTTGCCACTAGAGAAAGAGCTGCCATAGATTTTTGTCCATAAAGGACCTTTTTTTATTTGAACTCATTTTTGTGTAGGCCTAGCAGTGGTGTTGCTGGGTCATTGCTTAGTAATTTTTTGTGTCAGGTGCCAAATTGTTTTCCAGGTTTTTCAGGACCTGTTACAGGTCCACCAGTAGTGCAGCACAATGTCTTTTTTTCCTGCAGCCCTTCCAAAATTTATTGTTTTTCTTATTTGTCATGTTTACTGCTCTGGATGAGTGAGTGGAATCAGAATTGCATTAATTTGTATTTCTCTAATTAGTGGTGATTTAGAGCATTTTTTTCTCATGACTATAAAAAGCTTGGGTTTCAGAGAACTATCTATATCTTTGAACCATTTATCAGTTGAGAAATGTCATATACGTTTGGATCAGTTTTTTCCAACTTTTTTTTAAATAGAGATCTCTTTCTCCCACTGACTAGCCGAGTGAGGACTGATAGTGCCTCTAAGCCCTACTTAGTTCCTGCATTTGAAATACACAGATATTTGTACTACCTACCTCAGGAGGATGTAATGAGGAAAAACAGCAAATGCTAAGTGGCAACTGCTATATTTTCCCTAGGAGTTCAGATACTAGCAATCATTCTGTATGGTTTATAGTTGAATTTTATTATGGACCAGCAAGAGCTTAATACTTCAGTTTGAAGTGCAAAACCACTCAGATCTGGATTGGAGTGTATTATCCCTTCTTAGATAAGCTGCTCTGCAAAATTAGCAGTATGCTGATGAAACTATCAGGGTTTTGGAGGTGCTGTGGAAAATTACTCCTTGTACCTCTGAAAGGAGGAAAGCTAAGTAAGGTAGAAAAAAACCACTGGATTTGGATTCAGAAGATTGAAGTTGCAGGCCTGTCACTACCTGTGCATATTTGGATAAATCACTTAAACTGTGGGCCTCAGCTTCCATCTTAAAATTACTGGGATAGACTAGATGATCTCTTAGATCCTTTGCAACTGGATGAGCCTTTGTGCTTTCCTAGTCTGGGATATGGAGAAAATGAATAAGACAATTTCTGCCTTTGGGAAGCTCCCAATCTAGCAGATAATACTGGTTCACCTTTATGTAACACTTTATATCAGCTCCCTTTCAGGGAGGCAGGTTCAGAAGTGGGACTGAGTCTAATCATTTTACTACCTACCACTTTTGGAATTGAGCTCTTATGGCAACCAAAAGCATTTAATCATGAGCTCTTGTTCTGTGCTTGTTTCCTGACCCAGTGCTGTGAATTGTAGATTGTGATAATTATCTAAATACGTCATTAAAAAATGTAAGCATATTGAGGGGAGGGACTTTCATTTGTATCCCTCATGCCTGTCACATAATGGGTCCCAAAGAAATTCTTGTTGAAGAATTGAGCCAGTCTCATGGCAGCTGGTACTGAGTGTGGGAACAACTAAAGAAGGGGGAAAATTTTTTTATTAAGCAGTTGTCTGGTAAAGATACCTGGGTTCCAGTCAAAGTTATGACCTGTAAGATCACAGAAGTCTCGAGTATTCTCCAGGCTTATATAGATTTTTTTCTTTTACTGCTATTTATACTTCATTCTTTTGGAAGAAGGATTACAAATTAGAAGCTTTTTAAAAACATGATTGATTTTATGTTTTTCATCTAGGTGAAATAAGCAACTTTGTAAAGCATTTTGCTAGCAACTTATTAATACTTATTAGTTCACAACATCTTTCTTTACAACAGAGTAAGTAGTAGACACTGAAAATCAGAGATGAAGTGACTATTTAAAGGTCCTGGAACTAGTGACATCCAGCTCAGGTCTTGTGCTTACCAGTCTAGGAATCTTAACTTTTCTACACTTCATGACCCAGAAGTTTGTGTACCCGCTATATGAAAGGGCTGGTGTGTATATAGCCACTTTAAAATGAGCATTTCATTTTTTGACCTGTTAGCTTTTGTGTGAAGGGTAAACCATAACCTGATTTCCCTTTTAGCTTGTAGTTTAAATGTGCATTGCCTCCATGTGGCTTGTTTTTGAAATAAGTGAAAATGTTCAATCATCAACTAGTCCTCCAAGCATAAACATGGCCTGTATTTTCCATATTTGAAAATGTATCTTTCTTGCCCAGAAATGGCACCTCGCAAGGGGAAGGAAAAGAAGGAAGAGCAGGTCATCAGCCTTGGACCTCAAGTTGCAGAGGGAGAGAATGTGTTTGGTGTCTGCCATATCTTTGCTTCCTTCAATGACACCTTTGTCCATGTGACTGATCTCTCTGGCAAGTGAGTATCTAGATAAAGGTCCTACTGAGAATCTTGGCTATCTGTCTCCCACCTTACATGAAACCATGAGTTTCCATTTTGATTTATGATTGATGGCATCTTTGTCTACAGAGAAACCATCTGCCGAGTAACTGGTGGGATGAAGGTCAAGGCTGACAGAGATGAATCTTCTCCCTATGCTGCTATGTTGGCCGCTCAGGATGTTGCCCAGAGATGTAAAGAACTAGGCATCACTGCTCTTCACATCAAACTTCGGGCCACAGGGGGAAATAGGTATGTGTTCCCTGGTATCTTCGGTGAGGTGGCATGGTCTCATAGAAAGAGGGCCATCTTGAAAATAAAAAAAATAAATGTCACCCCACTGCTGGTAACTTTCCCAGTTCATTATGACTTGCTGGTGAATTGTTCCATGCTATGTAGGTAGCAAGCAAAGGAACTAGGGTTCAAACTTTGGTCCCCTTGATCTAGGTCCAGGTTTATTTTCTGTACCACAGTATAGGGGAAATGTCATCTATACTTAAACTTCCATTGGGACAAACCTTTGACCAGACAACTCTGCGTGGTGCCTCAACTGGTTTTCAGAGCTGTGTTGGAGATGCAGCTATTCTGGTTACTACTCAAGAACATGAGGCTGGGTCTTTTAAAATGTATATTGAGGGGACACTAGCCCTAGGGATGGTGGACTAAGATCCAGAATGAAGGAAAACACTGGGTAGAAGAGGTTTCTGTGCTTCCTTCTGGCTTTCAGTTTGTGTTGCCATTTAGGTCAGCCTTGGAGAGTTGATCTAGCATTGCCCTGGAGGCCTATGAAAAGAACCTCTCGGGCAGGTGTGCTGGACCTATTTGGCATTGGCACAAGTGCTTTCTCTGTAGTTGAAGACTTAGGTACCTTCCCACCTTTAAAGTTTGTGTATAGTTTTACATTAGAATAATGGTAAATAAGAAAGTTCAGCACTTGACTTAGTGGAGACATAGAGTCAAAGCTATTCCAGCTTGATGTATATGGCTCCTTTGATTTTGCCTCAGAAACTTGTTTTACTTTTGTGCTACCAAAAGGCATCAGAGGAAAGCTGGTAGATCACTCATCTTGTGAAGCTGTGTAGGGGTTTGAATTTTTCAAGTCATTTTACAGTCATCTCAATGGATCCTTGTAACAAACCCTTGAGGGAAACAAGGGTAAGCTTTGTGATTTCTATTTTACAGCCGAAGAAAGCAGGGAACAGGAAGTTGGATGTGCCTAAGACCATGTAGCTTGTTAGTATAAAACTCTCAACACTTCACCTTCTCATCCGTAAAATAGGGATCATAGTCTCCCCTGTAACAGTCTTGCCTACTTGACTGGGTTGTTTTGAGGATCGAAGACAAGGTGTGTAAGGTCCCTTCTAACTGAAATGCTCTGTAATATTGCACATACAACTGGAGTTCATGGTGATAAGTGTTTTTTAAAGTTTTATTATTTTTTAGTTCAGGAA